AGATGATCATGTTTAACAGAGGTTTAAAAGAAGGCACTTAACTGTTTAGATTCTGCTCTATACATCTGAAACCCATTCATCTTTCTACTGTACAGCCCAGCCTGGACTTCAGTGTTTGAGGCCTGGTACTTGAAGGGCTCCTATGAACATGCTGTGAATCTGTTAAGGTTTGGATCTTTGATCTCTAGAGAGTCATATACCAGAAGCTTGGACACCAGCCTATGATATTATTAGAAGGTGGGGCCTAACAGAAAGAAGCTAATGACTGGAAGGAGCTATGGGACCCCGGGTCCTTCCCTTTCCCGCTCCCTGTCTCCGTCTTTGCTTCTTGGAAGCCATTACCTTATCATGGTGTTCTGCCTTGCAGTGGGCAGTCGGTGGCCACAGATTACAGACTACAGAAGCATGAACCAAAATAACATTTTCAACCTCCTATTTGCTCAGACATCTGGTCATAGGGATGCAAACCCCACAGAGCAGCCTCTCCTGGGAGTACAGTGGTAGCACCTTGCTGCGCCTCACTTCCTAGCAAGGTGACAGAAGGTAGCTTTCCAGCAGACTAATTAAGTCTCTCCTTCACAGGGTAAGCCCCGCCCCCCAGGAGAACAGGGAAAAGACCTTCCTTTTCCAGACAATGATGAGGGCCAACTGTGAACCTGACCCAGCACCCCTGGGGTCCCTCAAGGGTTCTCCCATCTAGGAAGGATGGTGCTCAGGACAAAGCAGGTCACTTGTTTTTCGTGGCCTGCTATGACTATTTCCCAGTCCTCTCACCCTCGGGCTTATAAACAGTTCAGCACACTTTAGGGAAGGAGGAAGGAGACGAGGAGGGCAAGCATGCCCTTTCTATCCTCTGCACAAACATTATCCGTCCTCCAGTAAACAGGGAGGTCAGCAGCAAGACTACTAAACAGCATGCAGTTGTGGGCAGAGGACCAAGGTGACAGGGACTCTCCCGCCAAGGCCTGTATGGCCCCTGCATCTCCTTTCAGGGCCTCCGAACCATCACTTAACACTTGCGTCATTTACCGCTTCGCTTTCATCACATCTGCAAACAAAAGGCAAAGCCCCTCTTTTTACCTCTCCAGGCTGGGGCTTCAGTTTAGACTTGTGTTTGTGAACACAGTGGTGAGGCTCTGTGAGAATCCCAGCTATCAGATAGATTCCTGCCCTCCCCGTTTCCAAATCTTACTTATTTAAGAATGAGAGAAGAAAAGAGAGTTAAGAGCGAGGTTTAGCTGGAGATCAAGATAAACAGCAAGAAGAAGCTACTGGGAGCAATACTAGCCTGGTACTTCTTTTAAAACAGGCCTCTGAGAACGCTCCCAACCTCGCAATACCATAAATGTCCTGCTGCTGTCCCGGCTCTCATATTCTTCCCCGTACTTTCCACGCACATTCTACTGGGAATTGTCTGGAATCCCAGATCAAAACAGCAGTAACTTAATTCCCTTGCTATTTTTTTTAAGGTTCGGAAACTCAGCTGGGATGCATCTTCAAGTGTACGGCCCAACTCCACAGAGTCAGAGACCACTGAGTTCCTCAAATACAGTAAAGGGTAGGCAATCCTGGCCTAGAAGAAGGAGGAGGGAAGCTGGGCTAGCTCGCCTGGAAAGCCCCGGCAGAGGGCAGACGGCAGGAGCCTGGGAACCTCTACTTCTAGAGGATTCATTCCAGATGTTGAAACCAACCATGACACAGCAGGGCTCCTGCAGACTACCACAGGAGAGCTATCACTTAAGCTGGACTGCCACAGCTGAGACATTCAGGCAAAACCACTGACTGCCCTAGCATGAATCCATAATTTACTGATTATCCCCCAGGCCGGCAGTAATGTGCTACAACTCCACAGTGGGTAATTATCTTGGTGAGCATCCATTCAACCATCCAACCATCTGTCTGTCCATCCGTCCATCCATCCATCCAACCATCCAACCGTCCATCCATCCATCCATCCATCCAGGGGTGACACATGAGTTCTTCAGCAACAGAACAATAGTTCAGAGAATGGGTTCCAGTCACAAACCCATTCTGGGGCCACATCAGTGCAACTGGCCAAGCAGCAACCCTAAATTTACTCATTCGGGTGAAATATATAGGTTAAACACATAGCTGCACAGTGGCATAAAGATTAAGAATCTAAGATGCAGGATTAGACAAGACTGAATTTGAATCTTGACCCTGCCATACTACTAGTTCTGTGACCAACACTGAAAAATTACTTAAATTCTTGAAGCTTTGAGCTAGGGATAAAGCTCTGTGGTTGAGTGCCTGACTAACACGTGCAAGGTCCTGGATTTGACCCCTAGCATTGACAAAAAAATAAAATAAAAATCTGTAAGCCTTTATGTGTAACATGGAGACAACCTTTATGTATGGTATGGAAAGAAGCAGAAAAATCTATCTTTACAAATATTAAAGTGAAACTGAAATAAATAATTTATATATACAAGACTTTATATAGTGTCACAATAATTAGTAGGCATTATTAATTCTGTTTGTTTGTTTTGAGACAGGGTCTCTCTATGAGCCCTGTCTGTCCAGGAACTCAATCTGTAAACTAGGCTGGTTTTGAAGTAACAGAGATTTACCTGCTTCTGCCTCTTGGTGCTGGGATTAAAGGCATGAGCCACTGCGCCCAGCTTATTAATAGTTATACTGATAGTGTGCTGCAGTTGGTGACATGCTGGGAGGCAGGAGAGGTGGCTCAATGAGGAAACTCCTTTTCTGCCTTCTCAAGGAGAGACTAAGTATTGATAAGGAAAGACAGTTCTAGGTAAGGATGATGGTGGCGGAGATGAGATCTGCCATCTTTAAAGAAATAAGAACTTTTAAAAGTGCTCTCATTTCCAAAACCAAACATGAAGGAAAGAAAAATTGAAATAAATGACCAGCTCACAGCTAAATGGCAGAGCAAGCTCAGAATGAAGATCCAATTGCCAGTTCAGTCTGCTTGTTAGCTTGCTAGGCTCTTTGTTTTTCTGTGGTAATTTCTACAGCAAGGAGCTCACGTATGTTCAAAGGTGGCCAGAGGCTTACCAAGGGGTTAGGATCCCTCCCGGGGGTATAAATATAAGAACAGAAATAGTATGAGGAAAAGTCACCCTGTTTGGGATAACTGTAATTTTTAAGCTCCGTGGAAGCAGGGGATTCTGCTTTCTGCATCTCTGTACCTGGGGTACCTAGGACAGTACCTGGCAGAGCACAGGCTGCCACTAATGACTGGCAAAATAAGTAAGTGAGATTTGGTAGAGGTGTTCTGTCTGCATGGCATGAGTATGCTCTACCCGAGGTGAACAGTCCTGAAGTAAATATCCTGGTCACAGACGACGTCTGGAGGCAAATTTGCTATTGCTCGCTCTTTCTTTTCCGGTTCTGTCTGCTCTGCTGGTGCCGCAACACTCCCACTTCGTAAGAGTGACCCTGCCCGCAGCTCTGCAGACACAGCCTCTGCTGTGCAAGATCACCATGCAGGGTGCAGTGGAAGATGAAGCTGTGCCTTTTACCTCCCTGCTCAAGACATGAGGCAGGGCTGTCTGCATCACAGGAAGCCACACTTTCTAAACACTGGCGGAGGAAGGGAGGATTCCAGTGCTCTCAAAGCCCCAGAGGGATGCCAGCCATCATCCTTACTGTAAGCAGAAGGGATGACCCAACAGTACTGTCCGAGATCCACCCCACCCCCCAACGCAAATCATGCATCCCCTGTCCCCAGTTGTCCCCTGCTCTCAACAAGCCATCTTCTGAGGAGGGACAGATAAAGAAAGTAGGACAACCTGGGGACCACTATTATGCCAAGGGACAGTAAGCATGACTATTTGATATTCGAGACATTTTAAGCTCTGTAGAAGCAGGAAATTCTGCTTTCTGCATCTCTGTACCTGGGGTACCTAGGCTTTGCATAGGCCTAATGCAACCTCAGTGCTCTTTAGAACTTGGGCATGTGCCCTTCAGGCAACATTCAAGGCAGAAAAACTGGCATTTTCTTGGACACAGTGATGAGGGTGGGAATCAGGTGACTCGTTTTCTCTGGATGCTCCAGTCACATTTTATCCCCTGGGCTAGGTACCAGCAGATGAGGAGCAGCCAAAAAGGACACAGCAGGGCTCAGTGCTTTGGAGACTGACACTGGTCACACAGGCAGGCATGTTGGTTCCAATGCTCTACCGAGAGACGCAGTTGAAGACTGAGGTGGAAGGGGATGGAAGGAAAAACAGGGGTGACCTGGGGGAGAAGGGTGAAGCCATTGAGGCAAAGTATGGCCAAGAGAAGGGAGAGAGGGAGGAGTAGATGAGCGAAGACAAAGGAAAGACATGTGACAATACATAGAAGTGAGGGGAAGAAAAGCAGCCAGGGTACGGAGAAACGGAGGGGAGAGGGACCCTAGAGAAGGGAAGGCTGTGGCTTAGAAACGAAGTGGGGGTCACGGGAGGGGGGTGGCGTGGCAAGCAAAGGTGCTTTGCCAGGCAAGCCTAAGCCTGAGTTCACGCCTCCTCGGAACCAACGGTGGAAGAAGAGAGCCAGCTCCCCAAAGATGCCCTCCGATCTCCACATATGTACCTTGGCACACACCCCAACACAATGCTTCCCCTCTACACACACAAATAACTTTTAAAAGCAATGAGTCTGAATCTACAACTGGATAAAAGAAAATATGAAGCTGGAGTAAGTATGAATTTAGAGATAAAAACTTCGAGGGGAAAAACAACAACTCATTTAGCCTCCTAGATTACATTAACTCTGTCATATGATAGGCATTTCTAGCTTTTTTTCCCCTGCAACGTCCTTATCAGATACGAATGAAAATATTCAGAAATTAGGGACAAGAATCTCAAACTTCTCAAAGCCATTACGAGGTGAGGGTCAAAGACTCCAGGACAGCTGGCCAAGTCCCATGAACACCATCTCAGGCCCAGAGCTTCTCCTTGGGATCCACCGGGCTCAGCATTCTGTCGGTTCTTCCCCTTCCCAACTCCCAACCCTCAAAGGCAAACACTCACGCAGGTGCGCTGGCAGGTGGATCGAGTCTTCCTCCATCCTGAGCGCTCGAGGCACTGGAACATGAAGTGGAGTGGAGGAACCGTAGCTTGCCACTGGACTCTCCGGAGGTGTGTATGAAATTCGTTCCTGCTGTTAGGAAAAGGGGAGGGAGAAGAGAAAATGAAATGTTGCAATGGAGGTGTGAAACTCTGAGCAAAAGGCAGGAGGGACATGTGGGACGTCAGCCTGCCCAGAGATCCCTACCAGAGGTGTCCAACCTTCTGAAGTCACAACATGGCCCTGCCATCCACGACTGTGTTGAGCCACACACAGTTACCCTGGGATATATGCAGCCCACTGGCATCAGATTAGACAAAGCCCTCCAGTAATACCACTTTTTAAATACCTTCCATTTTTTATTTTAAAAATAAAACAAGCAAACAAAAAACACTGTAAAGGTTAAAAACTGGGCTTTTGGACTCAGGTCGACAGGTGCCACACCAGTGGTTTGTCCCCAGAATAAGGAGGGGCAGGGTGAGCAAGTGAAAAGAAGAGGTCTAAGAGTCATTTTTCAAAGCAACTCCCCAACATTATTTTCCCAAGTCACAAACTGAATGTCACCAATGCATTCAAACCATGCTTCCTTGTCTCTGGCAACGTCCCCAGCTTCTAATCAGAGTATGATTTTATACTCGAATCCAGCAAGAGTGAGCTATCCCAGTAAGCGAGAAGATGATGATTTCTAAGTCCAAAGACTAAGATCTAGATTTGTTTTTGGTCTGCTTTTCTGAGAAATGGTCTCCTATAGCCCATGCTGGCCTCCAACTCACTATTTGGCCAAGGCTGGCCTCCAAATCCTAATACTTCTGCTTCTATCTTCTGAGTGCTAAAATTACATACATGTGTGACCATGGCTGTTTTTTCAGTGCTAGGGACTGAACCCAGAGCTTCACACATGCTCATCAACTGCTTCGCCAACTGAGCTATAGCCCCAGATGATGTAATTACATTTTCTATCACTATCTCACTGTACCAAAACCACAGCCCCAAACAGCCAATGTTGAAAAGTCTTTCCTTCCAAATCTACATGAGCGAGCATCCCCTTGCTCCTTCCTCCTCCCTATCACAAGCAATTACTTCCTTTCTCTTTGAAGTAGTCCAAAGGTCTTTTAAAAACTATTTGACAATAACTAAAGATACTTGTCAACCGACAAAGAGATGATGTGTGGGGCTACAAGAGATCCACCCTTCAACTTCAAACAGTCAGTATTTGCTAGATCAATTAAAGCCAACCGAGTGACCGGAGAAGTGTTGTTATAACAGTAACTTGAAAACAACAACTGTGTTCAGCAAGAGCAGCTCCAATCTCCGTACCAATAATCAGCCTGACTTGCAGTCCACCTCGAAATCTAACTTCCAGTGGTGCCTGTGATTTAGCTGGACAAACAAAAGTGAGAAATACAAGGGCCAAAAATAAGCTTGGAGGAAAGATCAGTACGTCGCTATGAAAATACAGTTCAGGAGCAATAGCAAATTCTAGATTAAGGTGAGGCAAGGAGGGCTTGGCCAGGTGTGCATACTTGTAATCCCAGTACTTGAAAGGAAGATACAAGAAGTTCAGAAAGGCCAGCCTGGGCTATATAAGACTGCCTTAAAAAAATAAAATAAAAAGAGGGTCCTTACATTTTGGAAAGACAGGTCTTTAATACTGTATATTTCATCAAATAGGTAAGGCAAAGGAAGGGAAAGCCAGGAGTCCCCTTGGCCCTGTAGCCAAAGTCAAGCTTTTCTTCTGCTCAGAGCCTGGAAAGTTTGGTGGTGGGGATGGTAGATTTCCATTTTAAATGAAAATACACATATTATAGTTTCCAGATGGAATCACCATACCTTGCCTAAAGCATCTAAAGGAGTATCTATTTAAACATGTATCATTGAACGATCCTGTAAGTTCTCAATCCAAGGCAGGTCCACAGACCTAAACTGGACTTCTACATGTCTCAAGATATAAAACATCCAATTTCCCTTTTTAAAAAAACAAAACAAAACAAAACCCCGGGACACTGAATATTTAAGGCAATTCTAACAGACAGATAAGTTACTCTTTTTGGTGTTTGCGTGTTTGCTTTGGGGCCATGTGGGGTAAGAGAGGCAAGAATTGCGTATATGAGAAGCACATATTAAATCTGGAGAGGGTTCCCCCATCCCAGGTGCAAATAAGTTTTTGAGCATTTCAAGCACACTATCATGACGTCCGTCATCTAATAAATTCTCTATACTCCTCGAATAAGCCCCCAGTCTAATCACATCTACATATCAATGGTTAGCATCATTCCCAGAAACAGCTTCGTTTTGTTGTGTTTTTTACATAAGCGAGACTACTGATGGAGAAGCCTGGTACAGTCGACGGATCTTCAGATGGAATGGCACGAGGGTGAGGGGAAAAAAAAAAAAGAAATGGTGTTTCATAATATAATGACTTCTGTGTCAAAGCCAAGACTCACAAGAACCTTACGCTTGTCTGTTAAGAGAGGAGACCACTTATGGTGGATGTAACTGCCACCATCAACACTGCCAGACCCTGTAGTACACAGCTTGACACTTCTAGTAAAAGACAACCTTGGTCTCGGGGGGGAAAAAAAAAAAAAAAAAAAAAGGAGACCACTTCATTCCAGTCTCCTACCACGCAAGTTTCTACTTTGCATTGTGGGAGATTTAACATCAGCCCACAACCAGGGTCTGGCTGGGTGTCACCTTCATAGTGCATATATTCCTGACTATTTCATCATTGCACTGTGCCTTTGGCGTACTGTGGTTGCTTTGTAAGTGGCCATTTCTACAAAGTTCCTGGCCTCCCAACTACACTGATGGAGCATGCTTCAGTGCTGGTCCTGGGACTACGAGCAACAATCCCTGTCCATAGGGTTAGATGGAGACATACTCTTGCATGATGAGATCTACCAGCAACAAGCTAGAGCCTGAATGGTTGTAGAACATGACTGGGAAGCTGTAAGCTAAGGTCAGGAAGCCCTTTGTGAAAGGTTCAGTGAACACACCCATCCACCACAGGGGAATTGCTACTTTGACCACAAGGGGAAAAGGCCAGCTGTGCTTTTCAGGGCCTTGAGCAACCCATGGGCAGCAATGATTACCTACTGGACCCCTGGGTTTAGTGGCCTTCGGAGACCCTGGGAGACTGTTACCTGGTATGTGGGCTCTTTTCTGAGAAAAACAGAACAAACATCTGGGAACACCACACTGAAGACTTAATGTACTCTGTCTAACTTCTAGCCTGATGCACTCAATATCTATCCTGGCCCATGAGCAGCTACCAGCCACTAGAAAAAGTAGGCACGACTATCTCAGAGACATCTAGACAGAGGGACTTAAAGGGGACTCACACCCAACATTCTAAATCAAGTAGCTCCTTTTATTCTCACCCCTGCTATTCCTCTTGTTTATCAAAAGAAAAGGTGTCTAGAGCAGTAACTGTTGGCTCATTTACCTCTAAAGAAAACTGCCAGCCAGGTGAAAACCAAAGGCACTTTAATACCGGGAGCACTAAGGATTTTTCCCAAGAGGACTGTAAACATGGCCCTAATTAAATTAAATTGTATAGACAGTAATATTAATGCATTCAGGTATTGTAAAGAATAAGCCAAGGATGGAAGTCAATGCTGTGATTAAACATGCTGTGATGTGGGTGCGCTATTGCTTAGATGCTGGGAGTCGGAAGGATGCTGCTCTCAAATTTGCAGACACAACCTACCACGCCAAGTTGGACAAAAGGGAAGTGCTGTGATTTCTGATGGGAACTGTAATATCCATGAGGACTGAAGAAGAAGGTACAAAGAACTCCGTAAGGCAAAGAAAAGCGGAAACGGCTGAAGGCAGGGGCTGAAATGTAAATTTCACTAACCATTATAGAAAGCTTTTTAAAATGGATGTTCCCGTAAGAACAACTTACTGAATTTGAAATTATTTACATCTCCCTTTAATGCAATCTAAAGCATGAAGGGTTAATGAAAGGTACCAATTTTATTCTGCTTATTTTTAACCTGGGAACTTGAAACGTCTGTGTATAAGAGCTCACTCATCTTCACGTCCACTGCCCTGCCCTCAGGCCACATTTTCTAGAAGGGTCAAAAGCACAGAATTATTAATACCATGAGCATCTCCCCTCTTCTGAATTATTCAACATAGAGGTCTGTAAATTATGAGGACCCCTCTGGTCTATTCACATACTTGTCCTTACACTATGATTGGTACAGGCTGAAGGGCTGGGTTAGAGCCTACTATTAGTCAAATACCTTCTGGAAATATAAACAAAGCATTTTTAATTTTTTATTTATTTATTTGGTTTTTCAAGACAAGGTTTCTCTTTGTAGTTTTGGTGCCTATCCTGGATCTCACTCTGTACACCAGACTGGCCTCAAACTCAGAGATCCGCCTGGCTCTGCCTCCTGAGTGCTGGGATTAACCACCGCCACTGCCACCCGGAGTTAGACAAAGCATTTTGTGAATGAAGGACAACAGATAAAGCCAGTGTTCTTGTACAAAGATGGTTAACGAGTTATTTCAAAAAGCTTAGATGTCCTTGATTGAGGAATTCTTTCTAGAGACTGCTTCTACAACATTGTAATTGCCAAGATGTATTTCCAATTTGGTTTCTGAAGACTGCGTGGAAAGTCCTGAGGAGTGTCCTGGGACTGAAGGGTGACTGTTTCCTGGAGTTATGGTAAGAATTCCACCACAGGCACCTCTCAGCTCCTGCTTGTTACTCTCCCACCACAACAATGAACATTGCAATGCAGATAAGATGTATAAGGTCTCTCAAAGTTAGGGGGAATGCTAATGCTTGTCCTGTAACCAACATCAACAGATTTCACAGAACAAATCCCTCCTCTGACAAGGTATGTTCCCTGATTACTAAACAAGCAGGAGTACTCAATGTGATGGTTAATGGCATCTCAAATGCCAACTCAATGAGCTCTAGAGTCAACTGGGAGATGAGCCCGTAGGTAACTAGGTAACTAGGGCAACTGAGGTGGGAAGACCAGCCTACTGTGGGTGGCACCATTCCCTGGGTTGTGATCTTGGACTAAACAAAAAGGAGAAAGTAGGATAAGCACACGGACACTCTTTTCGCACCG